AGCAAATAGAACTGAATAACATTCAAGAATTGCAACAGAAGTGCCAATGTTGGAGGACAAAAATCACCAAGGTAATGAAAGCAATTATCTTTACAGAGAAGATGCAAAGAAGCAAAAATCCTTACGTCCGAACATTGAGAGTTTCGTTATGCATTGTGAAATCCCTCAGCATAACTTTCCTTGACGGCCATTGAGAACTATAATGAAGAAGAATATATTCATTGTGCTTGAAATATGCACGCAATGAGTTGTAGTCCACCAGCAGGTACCTAACTTTCTTCCACAATTGCTCCACTTTTCTTCCCTTTAATGAAGAACCCGTCTTCTGATTCTCTTTTCATCCGCAAAACGATTATTCTTCCTCACAATTTCCTTGATTTCTATCCAATTTCTGACCAACCCATTAAACATTAGACATAATATAAAAGTTTAAAATTGTCATGTTCATCCTGGATATCAAGAATTCACAGGAAACATATGAAAATCATAATATATTGCAACTGTGCATTTAAATTTTAGAATAAAGGTACTTTATCATAGAATTTGACAAAAAAACTCGACATAATTGCACGTGGTAGTAGATGATCGGATGGAAAAGATGATTGTATTTTAAACTATCCAATTATAAAATGCCACGTGACATTCATGTAGCATGATTGTATATTTTATATATGTAAAGCAATTAAAGAAATGCACACTTGAAATGGAATGCCCTGTTTGAGCCCCATTATCCTAAAATTAATTTTTACTTAAACTGATTTTCAACCATACGTTCTCTAAATAAAAAGAATTTATAATTCAAAAGCAAACTTGTGTGAAGAAATTCAACTGGGACAAAGTAATAAAATTTAAAACCATATACAGGTGGGTGAAACTAAAATCAAATATTGACATGTTCTCTCGGTCATATATATCCTACGATAAGCATTAAGGTATATGTTTCAATTCAATATAAAATCGTAAGTGTCAGATTCGACATCCCAAGTATTTTGGAATTTATTATCCTACTGCAAGTTGTAGTATCTTAAGATACTATTTATTCACCAGTAGCATAAGGTTAAGCATTTTTTCCAAACCAAACAACTACAGCATTCAAATAGAATATAAGGGAATCTTAGGCCCCGTTTGACACCCGTTTTTTACCCATTTTTCAACAGTTGTTTCATTACGTGTGGGACCCTTGGCCAACTCTTTGTCATAAGGCGCTAACAGTGTCTGAAAAAGTGTTTCCCTCTTTTAAAAAATCCCCATAATACCCTTCAAGTTTTGTCTTTCAAATAAAGTGGTAGGTGTGGCACATGATGCAATTTGCAATTTGAGTTGAGGGTAAAATGGGCAAATTATTTCAACGGTCAAGTGGGTGGAACCTGTACTCGAACACAACCCACTGTAGACTTCTGTTTTTGCCAAAATTCTACTGTAGTAAAATGAGAAATCTTTGGAAAAATAAGATTCAAACGGGGGCTTATTTTACAACTTAATTGTAGGCATCATGTTGCTATATTTTAGCTTCTTATAAGTAACTGTAGGGAATATATAGAGTGAGCAATTGTCTACTCACCTTTCTAAAATTCTCAAGAGCCTCTTTATTGGAACTTTATTAAAACTTAAACT